GAGAGAGAGAGAGAGAGAGAGAGAGAGAGAGAGAGAGAGAGAGAGAGAGAAACAAAAAAAAGGAAATGTTTATTCTAAGTATTTCCTGCTGGGTTTCAGGCTTCCTCAATATAACTGTCCCTTTCACATCTAAGAGGAGATTAAACAATATAAGACCTCCAAAGTTAGGTTTAAGTTCCTATCTTTTGAATGAATGCAAGGCATTATTCCTTGTTTCCCTCCCTTCCCAATCTGTCAAGAGAACTCAGGGAACCCAGGATCAAGTCTGGTGGAAGCAATGAAGGCAGACTCACAGTGTCCTTAAATGTGACTGTTGTACATCTGGAAACTGCACTTAACTGGATGGATGTGTCACCCAAGACTACCAAGGTTATAAAATCAATTGAACTACTTTAGCTAGTTGGATTCTGAATGAATTCTTAAATTCCAGCCAACATGGAGTCACAAATCTGTCTGATCACAGCTCAAATCAATCTCAACTGGGATAAAATGGGGCCAAGCAAAATATTGTGTCTGGGGACTGAGAGGAAGGTGAAACACCTGGATGACTTCTACAGTTAAAATCTGTGTGGTAAGATACGGGGATGATTCAACTGTCTCTGCTTGAGGCCATGGAATTCTTTTCTCTGCTCCTTTGCTGTGTTGGATCTACCTTCCTAGGCACAGGTGCCAGCTCCTCCTATGTTCGTGCTATCCTAATTAAAGTGTCTTTTTATAGAAATGGTGTAACAGTACACATTTAAACTTTGAGAAGTGTAGATTCCCACCAGGACTTTTGTCTTGATGAAGGATGGGCTAGTTTTAGCAGGGAACTGAGCCAACCTTGAAAAGAAAGCAACCGTTTCAACAGTACATTACAAAAATTCATATTTTAAGCTACAGAGTCAACAAAAGTCCAATAAAACATCTAAAATTTTATGCGATCAACAATAGAAAATCGATGACAAAAGGTCATCATGAATAAAAAAATCAACATAAGACTGAATTCATGGCACACAGTGACATTATCAGATTTGAAAACTTCAAATACAACTAAAATAAAAACTATAGCATCGGAGAAAGAATAAAGAGATCAACATAACATGAGAGCAGATAGAAATATGAAGACAGTTCAGATATGCTCAGTGTTGAGCAACAAGACCAGCAAGCCCAGTAATTATGGCCTTACTGACACAGGCCTCTCACACACTGTGGCATTCATGTGCAAATGTAGTAAGAACACAGATGCTAAGCTCTTCACAGCATTAACTCCAGAAGCCTCCTACACCTGCCTGTCAAGTGGAAACAAAAGACCTTCAAGAAGACACTAGAGAAACTAGGGCTTTCTGAGTTAGCAAATCTGCCTTCCATGGTGACGATAAAGCAGCTCAGGTGTGCTCATTCTTTGACGAGGTCAACAATAATTAAGTGTCCTCAGAAGGGATGCTGCTCCCATGCTCAGGAAGGAAGGCATGGCAGGAACTCATGCGAGGTAGGAACCTGAGCTAATGGACAGGCCATGGAAGGTGCTGTTTACTGGCACATTACGTTGGATTGAAAAGTGAAGACTCATATAACCCTCTAGGGTCTCTGCACAGAATTAGGACACACAAGGAGACATGACAAGTGCAGACATATCAGCTATGGGCTAGCCCATGGTACTTTATAGTTCAATGTTGTGACTTTACAGAATATTTAGGAGCATGGTGGGCCAGGCATGTTAATTAGAAGTGCAGTGTGCTGGGCAGACTGATCTGCAGGATATGCCTGTATTTACACCTGCACTTCCCACGTCTATATCATCCTGCTTTCCTGAGAGCAGAGCCTCATGATCAAGAAGCAGAATGCGCCAACCAATACTCTTACAACTAAAGAGAGAACAGCATAGGTCAAGTAAAACCAGTGCCACTGG